TATAAAAAATTGTTAATTAAATAATTTTGATTTCATACACTAAATGTATAATAATCGTACATTTATGTCAAGTTTTAAGTCATTTCATTGAAAAATGTAGAAGTTATAAGCAAATGACCGAAAAATGAGGCGTTCGCCCCACTGTGCGGCGTGCAATGGATAGAGGAAGACCCACCTCCTCCCTTTGGCCGGCGGGAGAATCGCAATCTCCCTATCGGTCCCGGCCGACCGGACGTTTGGAATCAGGGTCGCCTTCCCCTACCGGCTGTTGGAGTTTGAGTCGCCGAAGCTAGTCAGATTCCTAAGCAGGGCAGCCGGGCTCCCGGTTTTTATTCAGGGTTTTCCTTCCTATAGGACGGCCGGGCAACGGAGCTAGCCGAAGCTAGCTCGTCCCTTACGGTCCCGTCTGACCGGGCGGACTTTTTATAGAGACCGCCTACCTCGCGAGTCCTGAAAAGGACTCCCCGGTCCACGACAGGCCTCGCGGACTGCCGTGGATTACGGTACTGGTGTGCTCGGGTACTCCGGGTTCGCAAAACCCGTAGTGGAGGGCTCCCCCAGGCCCCTAGAGGTTTCGGAAGGGTGCCCCCCACCTCCTGAAGGGGTGCTCACGCACACTACCAGGCGCGTGGATCACTGACGTGCGCCCAGCTAAAGGTCGGCGCTGATTGGATTGACTTTACTCAATAATTACAGCTTGGTAACGCATTACAAAAGAAAATGGTTCGGGACTTTTCGACTCAATTTTTGATCAGGAATAACGCTATGTAGTTAGTGCGCGGTCTTTAAGGAACACCCTGTATATCAGGTGATATATATGGGGCATTCTTCGTGAAATAAGACACCTCCCCCTGTCCAAAAATTAGGGTCACCTAAAAAATTCTTTCGGGGCTCATTTTATAGCTACACATATGTAGTTTTAGTTGAGTTGTGGCCTTTTGAAAAATCAACATGGCGGACCCCAATATGGTGGCCGAAGTGCGGGTAACGAGGTACGACAGATGAAATCGTTACTTGGAAGTTATAGACTGTCATAGAAAAATGTGTTAATGTGTTTATTTAGTAGTTAGCATTGAATCCATGGAAAAAATAAATTTTTAGTTTGTCCAGAACCAATATGGCGGCTAAATTATCCGTGAAATGCTAAAAAATAACTATTTCGTTCTTTAAAACGTACAAACTGCGTTCAATTTTTATGAAAATTTATATCATGATACATTTTAAGATGTTGATCATAAATTAACAATTGGGACGTCGTATTTTAATATAACGAAACCCAATATGGCGGCTGTATATTCGAAAAATGCTAAAAAATAATAATTAAAATTAAAAATTATAAGGCTCTCGTGATTAAATCGATTAAAGGGAAAGAGGCAGTAAGAGCCGGCGCGGTAAATAGGGCGCAAGTTATATATATTTCTTATCGTCAATACATAAAAAAATTCGCGAACGTTTTGACCATTTTTGTGGTCATCTTCAGCGCAATGTGTAAATTAGAAACTCTATTGTAACGCGGTCATTTGGCTATTGTATACTCGCACGTCGCACGTTCCTTTTTTCATGCGGTCATTCCGGTGTGTGTGCGCTACTCCATAGGCAAGCAACCTTAAATCCCTCCCAAGTTAGAAGGCCAGGAGGACCATGTTGCATTTGGTACTTCATTATATGTTACACGATACCTGCGTACATATGGAGCGACACACTGATTTACGGTTCACATTGATATAAAATTGAACACTGTGAGTTACTTACAATGAAATCGTAAACGGTAAGTAACTCTCCGCCGCTCCAACTACCTCCGATCCGGCGCGGGCTTTTCGAATCAACCGGCTGTCCGGGCCGCGATGATCGAGTCGGCGTTCGGGGTCAGGCTGGCGTTCCGCTCGGGGGTGTCCCGGGGTCTTCCAGATCGTTATCCTACCGCTGTCACGACCGAATGCGGAGTGAACTCCGGCCGGCGACGCTCATGCACTTGCGGGGAGGTCCGGGCGATCCGACTTTCAGCCATGTCCCCTGGCTGTCTCCTTAATCCTCTGCCCTTCCTCGTTGCGGCTTCCGGCCGTTACAGTTGACTCCGGCCACCACCGGCAATCCCTTAAAAACTTAACAGCTAATTAGACCAATTAATTACGCGACCGCCCTCCTCTCGCTCTAACGAGGAGGCATCCCCGAATTCCCCTCGGCCGTGCCCGTCCGGGAAGGAGACGCGACTTGTCACGTCACACATGATATAAATTTTCATAAAAATTGAACGCAGTTTGTACATTTTAAAGAACGAAATAGTTATTTTTTAGCATTTCACGGATAATTTAGCCGCCATATTGGTATTGGACAAACTAAAAATTTATTTTTTCCATGGATTTAATGCTAACTACTAAATAAACCCATCAACACATTTTTCTATGACAGTCTATGACCGGTATTTATAGTTATTTAAGACCGTCTTAAGTTCAATCTTAAGATGTTATGAACCAATCACAGAGCCGTATTAGCGTCTTAAGACATTACTTAAGACGATCTTAAAGACTATGAATACCGGCCTATAACTTCCAAGTAACGATTTCATCTGTCGTACCTCGTTACCCGCAGACTTCGGCCACCATATTGGGGTCCGCCATGTTGATTTTTCAAAAGGCTACAGCTCAACTAAAACTATATATGTGTAGCTATAAAATGAGCCCCAAAAGAATTTTTTAGGTAACCCCAATTTTTGGACAGGGGGAGGTGTCTTATTTCACGAAGAATGCCCCATATATATCACCTGATATACAGGGTGTTCCTTAAAGACCGCGCACTAACTACATAGCGTTATTCCTGATCAAAGACACCCCGTCTGATTTCACGGAGAATGCCCCATATACATATTATTACATATATATCAGGTTATTCGACATAAATAAATATATAAAATATGGTATTTATATAAATATATTTAACTTACGGTTACGAAAGATACTTTATTTGCCCCAAAGGGGCCTTAAAGGGCGTTTTTGAGGAACGTTCCCAAACCTTTACAAAATTTACAATAATTTACATACAATTAAATACATATAATTTATTATAAACACATTCTTCTTCAACCCTTTTCGCTGTCTCGTCCTCCTTGGTCCTCTTTCGTTGAATTGTTGGATCATCCTTTTTCCTTTCCCACTTTCCTCCCTCTTCCAACTCGTCTCATTTCCTCTACTGCTTTCATCCATTCCTCTCCCTCACCCTTTTCTCCCAGTAATCTCCCGCCACATCCTGCCACCCCTCTCCTTCCCACTCCTCCCATCTCGTATATTTCTTCCATATATGTTCCCATGTTTCCTCTTCCCTCCCACATATCCCGCATTTTTTATCCTCCTCATTTCCCCAGTATAGTCTCTCCCTCACTTCGTTACCAAGTCTAAATCTTGCAACCCTGCTCCATCTTGCTTCCTCCCATCCCTTCTTTAGATAGTCCGGAATCCCGTCCTTCCTTATACTCTTATACCATCTATTGTAATTCGATCCCATAATCTTTTCCATCTTTTCGTGTTTCTTCTTCCATTTCTCTTTCCTCTCCAATGCCTCCTTTTCTAATTCCTCTTCCCCTTTCACTTCTACTCCGATCCCTTCCAGATAGTCCTTTCTCTCCTGTTTCCATCTTCCTATTATCCTTCCTCTCTTCCATTTTTTTTTTATTTTTTCCAAACATTTTCTCGCTATTTCACCTTCTCTACCTTCTTCCAGTTTTCTTTTAAACTTCCACGCTCTCTTACTTGCTCTAGCTCTCATCTTTTCCCTTTCTAATTCATCTCTAACCATATATCCTGGCGTTCTCCAGTTTAGTCCAAGAACCCATCTGAGATACCTCTCATGAATACCTTCTACTCCCTCCTTTCCTTTCATTCCCATATTTCTGCCCCGTATCCCATCACCGTCCATATCAGGGTGTCATATAGCCAGATCCTTCTTTTGCAGTCCTTTTTCCACATCCTCTTCCCTATCCCTCCACACTTCTGTCATTACTCTTGCTGCCTTCCTTCTTCTCTCTCTAATATGCGCTTCCTGCCCTCCATTCTTCTTCAACGTATACCCCAAGTATTTGAATTCATTGACCTCCTCTAACTTCCTTCCCTCATCTACAGTCATATTTCTTCTTCCTTCCTCCTCCCTTTCTAAACCTCATTATCTTTGTCTTCTTTATACTCAGTGTTAGACCTTTCCCGTCTAGATATCCCTTTAACCTGTTTATCATTGATCTCATTTCCTGTTCCTCCTCCGCCAGCAGCGCTATATCATAGTTGTCTATTCACCAAGTAGTTCAATGCAAATATTTGATCCATCGTCTCCATTCCTTTTCTAAATCCTGCCTGGTTATCTGGTATCAAATTCTTCGTTTCAACCTCCTTCCTTATCCTTTCTGCCAGTATCGTTGTGTAGATCTTGTACATCGACGACATGATAGTTATCCCTCTAAAATCCTTCACCTCTCGCCCCTCTCCTTTCTTTACTATTGGGATTACTTCACCTTCCTTCCATTGCTCCGGCCAGCCTTCCCCCCTCCAGACCCGTTTGCATATTTCCCATATCCATTTCACCATTTCTTCTCCTCCAAATTTCCACGCTTCGTTCGGTATCCCGTCATTGCCTATTGCTTTTCCTGTTTTCAACTTCTTTATTACCATTCTTACCTCATCTAGTTCTATCTCTTCCTTCTCCTGTCTGCCCCCTCCTCCTTCTCCATTCACCACCCTGTTCTCCACTCCACCCATTAATTCCATGAAGTATTCCTTCTATTTCTCCGGTTTTATCTCTTCGTTGATCCTCTTCCTTCTCTTCCTCACTCTGCCTATCAATTCCTGTACTTTTCCTTCCGTTCTCGCTTCTCCTATCTCTCTGATCATCTTTCCTTTTCCTCCTTTTTCTTTCTTTCGCACATTTCCCTATACTCCTTCTTTCCTTCTCTGTATCTTTCCGCCTTTCCTTTTTCTTTTCTCCATTTCCTTAGTTCTCTCCTCACTCCCCTCTTTCTCTCTCTGCATTCCTCATCCCACCACCCTCTTCTGTTCTTGTTAGCCCCTCTTTTATTCTCTTTTTCATTCTCCTCTATTACTCTTCTTATCTTCGACGTTCTTTCCTCTGTTTCCTCTTGCAGATCTTTTTTTCCTCCAATCATACCTTGCAACCGGTTGTAATGTTACACCAGGCTGCAAAACAATCCTTGACGACTGTCATGTCAAGCCAAAAGTCCAGCTAGTCTCAGAGCGTGGCAGAGGTCAGCCAGACAGCTGATCCGATCCGAACCAAGAGGCAGCAAAAGCAGGTAGCGGAGGATGTGTCAGACGCGGTGACCAGGCCATCCACGCCGAGTCCAAAAAGCCCTGTGAGCAAGCCATTGACGCAGAGCGAAGCTGAAACGTTGACGGAATTGCCAGAAGCAGAGGCGACATCATGTCCAGCACGCAGGTAAAATAATTCCTGAAAACCGAAAGAGATTTGTCCGTTAAGGATTAATCTAATAAATAATAAAAACTTACCTGATTCCTATCATAACCTACATGTAAATACACGCGTGTTTATATCTATGCAAGATTAGAGATAAGACATTCGCCATGGAATATTAGCCATGTGAAATTACATTAATATTGGCGATACTGTTCTTTGCCGCGATGGTAATACTATTTTACTACGAGTTACACCGAATAATGCAATCGAATATGTGAGAATGCTGTTTTAAATTACGGGAAACGTAATTATTCGTGTATTCGAAATAGATTTGTTGAATAGAGTCAGATTGCGCGTTAATAAAGACAGTTTCAAAGTTCTGTGATGATCGAATCGATTATGTGATGAAAGTGAGGTTACGAATTAAGAACTTGAGACACTTAAAAATGGTAAAATATTATTCAATTTGTCGTGCCAAACGCGAACATATAGTTTTTGTGCGATATAAGCCACGCATTCCATGTGCGGGCATAAAGGGTTAAGATTTAGAGATTTTGATATCCGATGGATAATTTTATGTTATTAAAGCGAAAGTATCGTTAGATAGTAGAGACGAGTCGATCTAGTCGATCCGCGAAACGATCCAAGGTCAATTCCGGAAAGTAGCTGTCAAAGGGTTAAGACCGAGGCGCGCGGATGAACAAACTTTCACAATTGTTCACCGATCGAGCTCTACGAGGGCTTAAATTGTTCCTTGTGATTATAATAAGCGATACGTATAGTTTTTATTTGAGATTTACCCGTGTTATAGATTTTCATATATTAAAGTCGAAACTTCGAACGAAGCGACGGATCGTTATTATGACGATAGATTTGCATTCTGGGCAATGTAATGAGCAAACCCAGATACTTTTTACGGTAAATTTTACATTAATACGGAAATTCACCGATCGAGGTGATACTTTGCGATATCTTTAATTATGCCACTTTATTGCGATATTTTGATTTGAATGTACTTAAACAAGTCCAGTGAACGACATTCATCCGCGAAAAACCGCGTTTTCAAGCGAACAAAGATTTTCATTCATTGACACTCGAGATAGCTAAAATTCGTAATTCGGATAAATCATCAATAATTACGGTAAATTCTTATTTAAACAAGTAAACCAAAGAGTGCCATATGATTTTTAAGTCAAATTTTATATTACATAACATAGTCGTATATAGACGTGATCGCCTAAAAACTAACTTGCGTAATTTTAAGTTTTATCAATATATTACGATATATTTGTGTTCAGTGACACGAAATAAAGCCATTTAACTTTGCAGAACGAAAATCGAGCCGTTAATAAAAAAGTTAACCTGAAATCTGAGATTTCGTAGATTTCGTAGTTTTTGATAATAAAACGAACTAAATTGCCTTAAATACATTGGATTGACTTAAGATTCGATAATCTTAATAAAGATTTGCAAAATGTTCGTTTTCCAAGATATTTATTATTGTAGGTTGGAACCGGTGGCTGAAGTCACCGTTCCAAAGTCGGATCCTTTGCGCCAGCAGGTCGCGTACGAGCCGATGGACCAATTGGAGGTGATTCCCAGAGATCCCAACGCCGTACGACCGAGCGAGGAGACGGACCAATCAATGGGTCTGACCGCGGCCGAGGTACAGCTCTTCATGCGTAACAACGACGCGGAGCAGCTGGACCTGTTCCAAGAAGTGCCCGAGGCCGTAGCGGAGCAGATAGTGAGGGAGTGCGGGGAACAACCCGCTGGACCAGAGAATAACGACAAGGGCCAATCGAGAGACGAGGAGAAGGACGACGATCAGCCGGACCAATCGACGACGTCGGAGATAGCGGCGGGAGCAGCCATTGCCCCGTAAACCAAAATCCCGTCACGGTTGCGCGATTAAGTCAATTTAGACAGACAGCCAATCAGAAAGGTTGCGCAGGAATCTACCGTGTGTAGAGACCTTAAGTTTTATTTTGAGTGTTTAATTCTATTCCGTTTACGAACGAATTCATTTTATTTTATTTTATTGTTTGTTTTGACATAATTAAGTCATTCTAGAGTGTTTTACGCGAATTGCGCGACGAGAGACCCAACTGGTTTAATCTTATATCTATATAGCGACAAACGCATGTATTGGCGATTAAGGGAGCGTCGGTGATTAAAAATAAGTTTATTTCATAAACGATATGCTTGAGCGAACACGAAAAACCTTTCCATCCAATCCCACGCATCCCGAGTGAATTATCATAAGAAGCGAGGACAGAGCCATCGTGAGAGCCAATCAAAGGCCATGGACTCTGATAAATTCAGAATTTTAGTACTTTCATTCATTTTTATACTTTTTGCAATTTCTATTATCTGCATACTACTTTTGGTTTATTCGCATTTAGCAAGAGCATATCAACCCTATTATTTAACGTAGAGTCATTGAAGTCAGCGAGATGCGGCTTAAGGAGTACCTAGTGGTCACTCTGATTATATTCATACCTTTGATTATTAGTTTTCCAGACATTCACACAGTAAGCATGATATTCACTCTTTATACCTTATATATTTTATTATTAAGCCTCGAGATCGATCCAAGATTGATTCCCGACGAGCGATGAACCAATCACGTCAACTTAAGCGTGTATTGCGTCCGAGGACCAATAGCGTCCGTTCTATGTAACTTCAGTTTTAATTATGCATGTTTCACAGTTTTATTAGAGTTTTGACAGAATGTCGAACTACGACAGCCAATGGGGCGAAGCCCTGATAATTTTATATCGATTCGTCGAGTTTTACTTTGATTTACCTATTTCACACACTTTGTTGTCAACGAGAGCCAATAGGAGCGAATCCTGGCTAATTTCATGTTGTTTAGTTTATTTCAAACTTTTCTATCAATATCTAAGGCCTTCAGCCAATCAGAGCGCATTGTGCGACTCAGTCGAACGAACGCAGCGATCCGACCAATGAGAAACGAGCACGGCTCGAAACAGCGAGATTCGCATTGTAACGCGTTTATATCGTTCAATTATCTTTAATTTTATGTTTTCCCTGTCGAAACGATTAAGATTTATTATTTTATAATATGCGATACGCATTGGATATACTTACCGTCGGAATACTTACCGATGACGATTTCCCGTCCAATGATTGGGCGAGACGATCCCACGAAGTCCGGTACCTGAAAGAAAAGGAGAATTAACAAAAGATTGATTCTAGTACGTGTTACTTACCTGCGTAATGTCGGATCGTCAAAATGACCTATGATTGGTCACTCGGAACCGCTCCGAGTGACTGGCCCGCGAACACGCACTTTGTGCTGTTGCGACGGCTGGCATTGGTTGACGCATCGCGAAGACCGCAGCGAGAGCCCATGTCCGCCGTCCAATAGGGATTCAGCATCGTGATTGAGCTGAGCCAGTCAACCGGCTCAGTTAGTTGCCTATTGGCCAAACGACATTCAATGGATCGTGTCGCCCGCAAGACCGCGACGCGATTGGCCGAGTGCGAGAAGGCGCGCGAAATGCCGAGCAACAAATTCTTTTAGTTAGTTTTTAGCCATCAAAGTCGCAGATAACGGTCGACGCGGAGATAAATAATTTGTTTACTTGCAGTTAGGGGCGAGCAACAAAATCATACGTTGCATATTCTGGTAGGGCACGGTCCATAGAACATTTAAATAACAAAAAGACCCGAACAACAAATTCTTTTAGTTAGTTTTTAGCCATCGAAGTCGTAGGTAACGGTCGACACGGAGATAAATAATTTGTTTATTACAGTTAGGGGCGAGCAACAAAATCATATGTTGCATATTCTGGTAGGGCACGGTCCATAGAATATTTAAATAACAAAAAGACCCGAGCAACAAATTCTTTTAGTTAGTTTTTTAGCCATCGAAGTCGTAGATAACAGAGATAAGTAATTTGTTTATTTGCAACTGTTAGTTTATTGATTAATCGAGCAATTGATTAATCAAGTAATCAGAATTGATTAATCCAGTAACCAAAAATCATTATTTTGATTACTTGATTGATATCTAGAAAAGGCATTCAACGCGTAACAGAACGCGAAGCGCGTCGCTGTCGCTTTCGTGGCTGAATAGGAGGAAAGGAGAAGGAACATAATACGTCTGCTCGTCTCTAAAGACCCGAAGCAGAGCCGAGCGCGGAGCGCACATGGACACGGCGCGGGCTGGTAGTGGTGCTCCCCCACTCCAACAGCACCGTGGTGCTGGGCTTCAAAACTGCCATCACTGGATCACCCGACGCAGTGGGCGTGTTCACCGAAGTGCCGACTGCGCATGCGGCGACCCAAAGTGGGGATGCCGAGGGGAGTCATCGAGGTCTTTTCTCAGAGAACCTTCGTAACGAACGGACGTGTTTTGTCGCGAGTGCGTGATACTTAGAATATTTTTGTTATTCGAGAACCGAATAAAGCGAATGAGAAAGACAAGTTTTGCGATACGCGAATACCGTTGAAAAGTCTGTATTTATCGTACGCGTTCACGAATATGTAAACCGAATATATTTTTGCTAATCACAAGTTCGAGAGACTGTACCCGGGCAACACCCGTGAAGTGTTCAAATTTATATTCCGCTATTTAAACAATAAATTAATATATTATTGTTTTTGTTAAATTGATACGAATCGAAATTATTTTGCGGAACTTTTCCTCATTTTAATCCTTGATCGACTTTTACGGACCGAGTGATAATGCGTGACTACAGCCGAGGACATAATCTATAAATCGCACATAGCTACGAAGAGTGATCGTCGTACATCTTGATGATAGACAGGAAGGAAGGAAGTTACAAGGCCATCGACGAGCATCGTTGGTTCTCAAACGTTTTACGTTCGTGCGTTAAACGTAGTGGCGACCGATAATTTCAACTCAAAGTGAGTTTCTCTTAATATTAGACCGCGAGTTCGGTCACAACCTAGCCTCTCCCTAAATTGTGTTCTTCCCTCTTCGCTCCATATCCCTCTTTTTCTCATTCTTTCCGCTTCTCTCCTTCTTTGCTTTCCTTTCGGGCTACCTCTCACCCAGAGTATTAATGGGTGATGGTCTGAGGGTGCAGTCCCATTAAGCACGGATCGGATTCTGCTAGGAAATTCTAGTGAATTCTTGATCCCGCTATTCCTTCCGATCGGAACGCGTATATTTCTTTAATTCTGAACGGATCGGGCGGGTGTTTCTGCCCGCGCAAGGTTTAAAACGCCGTTGTATTGGAAAAATATCATCTCCGAATTGTTCCAATTCACGTGTGCGTGCTGTGCATTTTAAAAGGATTTCGTACGTTAAAACAACAAGCTAAAATTCTACAAGATGAGTACCAACAATCATGAAAAAGGGCCGGTAATAATAATTTTAAATATAGGTTATGTGATTATAGTTTTGTTTGTTTACCAAAGAAAACCTGAAATTGACACCTTTATTGACAAAATATGTGGACATGTTGACAAACCACATGGTAGTAATATTTTTTTTATATTATTGAACGCATATATGTGGATTTTTTTCACAATGTGGTTTTACCACATTGTTTTTCCATATGGTTTTCACCGCATGATTTCAGCACATAGATATTTTCAATACGAACAACATATCAAATATTATGCGATTCATGTAGTTACATGTGTTTATATTTGCAGGCTGTAAAATGCGGTTACTGTGGGCAGATAATGTACGGATCCTGTGCGGAGATTCAAGCCCATAAGTGCTTCAAAAGCTATGATAAAAGTATTCATGTCCTCGTTGTCGACGAGAAAGGGCGTGCTACAATGAGTAATTTTATTTGCAAGCAAATATCTTTCATAATTTGTTTGCAAAAATTAAATATATTTAATAAGTATATAATTTATGTCTAAACAGGATTGAAGGAAGTAGGAGAAAGTACGCAGAGAGACGCACTACCAGCAGAGAGTAGCAATGAGTCTACTTCATACTCGGCAGACATCATGGACGAGATGCTCATCGATGCCGTAGAGCAGAGACCAGGTCTATGGAATTAAAAGTTGCCAGTTCAAAAGCAAAGCTCCTGTGTACGAGGAGAATTGTGGGATGAAGTCTTTAATAATCTTGGTAATATATATAATCATTTTACTTTGTTTTATGTACTCATAAATGTATATTTAATCTGCACTCGCAAATGGGCTAATGTACGTTTCCCAGATAGCACAGCTGATCTTTATGAATTCAAAAAGATCTGAATCTGACCTTTATAAATTAATAAAGATCAACTGTGCTATCTGGGTTGTATTCGTGTAAGCGAGCTGTAGCGAGATTCTATAACTCCGATAGTTTTAGTATTATATATGCGCAGGTATTATATATGTTAAAAAGCTGCGCAATGATATCGAAACTCGTTAAGGATTTACAGAATCCCGCCTCTAAATTTGTAATTTAAACTAGGGATTTTCAGGTTTTAAAGATGTAGCGTGGATGAAATCTCGATGGACATACCTGAGGGACTGCTATTCAAAAGCTCATAAAAAAATGAAGGGTTACGTACGCAGCGGATCGGGTGCGGAAGCGGGACATCCGCAGAAAAGTACATTCCGCTTCTATTCAAGGATGCAATTTCTAGACGAGGCTGCACAAGAAACCCCGTACGTAATAACTTGTCTTATATGGAGGGGTAAAAGCTATAGTGGTGTAAGTTAAAATTTTTTAAATATTGACTTGTGTGCATAGATGCAATTTATATATTGCACAAATTGCATCTAGATACACAAATCAATATTTTAAAAATTTTATTTACACTACTTGCACTATGGCTTTTACCCCTCCATATATAGGCTTTAATATATAAAAAAGTACACTTTTTTACATATCTTTGCTGTTCAATTTTAGTACAACAAGCTTTCTACCACAGAACATATGTCGTGATGAAGATAATGCACGGATCCTGAACGATTTGGAATTCGAGGAATGTAATGTGTATTCTCCAATAACTTGTAGCACGCCAGACAATCCTGAAAGAGCAGGAAGTTCGGCTAATTGTAGACCACGAGAAAAAAAAAGTGAGCTAATTTTGAATAATTGATAATCGACACACGTCTCATAGATTTTCATAATTAATTGATACATCTTCATATCATAATTGTGTTACTTTTTTCATGGACAATCAGCTTTGTTTAACAATGTATGAAAATGTAAGAAAATTCATTACTTTGAATGCATTAAATGGATTTTTTTGTCTTACAGGAAGACAGCAGCACGATCCCGATGTGCAGGCACTGCATAACAACATATTGTAACAGTTACTTCGCGAAAATGCGCCGAAGAAGGATGCAGTGGACAATTTCCTGGAGCAGTTGGGAGATATCCTGCGTAGATTGTGTTATCTTCGAAGAAGGCAAATGCAAGTAGAGCTGCTGCGTCTCGTTCACAGGACAGAAGACGAAGAATTAGCGGAGGCGAAACATGAAAGGCGACAAAATTTTTCGTATTATTATTCTATTATATTTTGTACTATTATCATTACCTTTATCTTTCTACCAATACATTATACATTACATAATAAATAAATAAAACATTTATTTCTATTTCAATAAAACCTGATGAGTAGTTCATATTAGGGTCTAAAAAAATGAATGGTTTGTTGTTACATTACATATATGTGTATGTAAAGTTCAAAACATTGAGATGTACGATCTTGTATTTATTTATAATTCTTAGAAAAAAAGTAGAGTTTTTGTATTCAAAATACCGCTTATAAGGATAGGAAGCAGTGGTGTGCTGCCATCTGTTGGAATAACTGAATCACTAATTATGTCTCTGAAAGGCTCTAGCGGGACCAACGTAGGTCCTAGTTATATCGCAAAATAGTGTCGCGGAACGGCGCTGCTATACAAGGTGGTAGCGCTACCTGGCTTTCGGTTTCTTCACGGAAGTTCGGGCTTCTTGAGCGAGCGTGTGTTCATTACGTTTCTGTTAGTCGTTGTAAGAGTCACGCGTGCGGAGTCAGAAAGACTCGTAGTCTCATTTTACTATTACAAAGCTCGCGATTTCGTGCATAGATTTCAGCGGAATTCTGGCTGAAATAAAAGGAGGAATCTGATACCTCAGGTGCTAGATTGCATCAGCATATACGCTACGGACGAACAAAGGAGATGTCCTTCGCCATTATTCCCGTTATTGAAGGATGTCCGCCATTACGGATGATCTGACGACTGATGGAAATTTCAGAGCCTTGAGGTATAAAGGCATACGGCTGGCGATTGAGATGGAATTATTTCAATGCAAAGATCCATAAGAAAGGTAACTCTCGTTGTTCAGTTTAAGGAATCATTGATCTTGAAAAGGGGCTAAGGTGCTTTAGCAAAACGGCGATCTCTGATTCCAGAACAGTCGAGAGCTTCTATATTACGTCTGGATGGTGATCACCAAAGGCGCCCGTATATTTGTGTGGCATTTCGATCCCATCCCTGAGCCTTCCCACCTTCAGTGGCGAGGCCGGACGAGAAGCTTCCTTCTCATTGCTAGAGTACTTAAAAGTAAAATACTTAAAGTACTATATTAAATTTGGTTGCAACCACGTGTAAGAATATTTTGTATGTGGATAATCAAGGGATTTCACCTTTCGTAAATCATTCGTGCATTGCAAAATCAAGCTATTACCTGTAGTAAATGATTCTTCAATTATAAGCTGAATATGAATAATTGTTTGAAAGACACGGCCGTTGTCAGTAAAAGATATATTTCATCTTTGTAAATATCTCGCGGACTCAATACGAGTTATTAGAATTATATTGAATTATTTGAATTCTTCCGATACTTTGCGTTGTATATACTTTTCTCTATATTATTAATTATTGTCTCGAAAATACGATTGTGTTTTACTTTGGGAGATATTCTCTCGCTCCGTCAGATACTCTTTTATTCGACAAACATGGATAAATGCTTATATATTTCAGTTGTTTTGAATTAACAAACAACTCCGATGACGATTGTCATATATTTTCAGAAGCAGATCATCTTGATATGCACATTATTATTAATATAAATTTAGTTTCACAATCTAATTTTGACTGTTTTTTCGAATAATAAGAAGCTTAAAAGTAAAAGATGTATGCATTCTTCCATTACTTATTTACTACTTTATATGATATTTTGTGAATTTATAATGTCATCGATATTAATAACTTTGTTCGTATTAATGGTCTTTTCAACTGTTTAACTATTCAGGAGTGAAATTTATTTAAAATACACTCAACTTTTCATGTTGATAGATCTTTTGTTCTACAAAAAATTATATTATTTTATAAACCTTCAACTAATGGATTCTAGTTTACGATTTCTCTGATAAATTGAAAAATTGCTTTGAGTTGATTGACCAATGATACAAATTTCATGCTGAATTACTTATTTTATCTTTATGTGACTTGTTATTGATAAAATGTGTTCTTTTTTATCAGACTTAAGAAATGTTAAAAGTCTTCTCGAAACACTCTTCAAAATATATTGACTAATTTACTAAACGACATCAAGTTTCCTAATCCTCAACACCATTACGTAGATCACGATTCATTCGGAGCGTGTACATTCTGTCTTATAATAATGAGTTAATCGCAAAATTTCGCAGCAACTAAT